TTCAAGAGCACCATCATGCATGCTCAGTTCGTGTAATACTTTCTAGGTATGAAGCGAACGACCATTGCAAGGCTGTTTCACCAGCTCCTGAGCACCATCTCGAACTGGATCGAGCGTTACGAGAGCACATCAAGCTACGACCGCAAGAAGACAGCTGCCATTGCTCGTTTCAGCGACGAGCAGAAGCGATGGATTGTTGAGTTCTACTGCGTCAACCCGAATATATTTCTCGACAAGTGCAAGAAAGAGTTTGAAGTGCACTTCAAACATACATATCGGTATCAACAAACTGGCGTGTCGTTCATGCCCACGGGTTCACGTGGAAAGTGCTTGAGCGGCGAGCCATGCAAGTACGACAAAAAGACGTTCAGCGGTTCTTTGACGAGCTTGCATAGATCGACTGGCCGCACCACAATGTGCAGTTTCTCGACGGCGTCAGCTTTGACTACAGGGGCATGCTCCGGAAACGCGGGTATGCCATGAAGGGCTAAAAATTATGCTTTCCCGGGAATTTGACCGAAAGTCACGTGTATCGCTGCTATGTTTCATCGACGTCCATTCGACCGGCATGCCTTTGTGAAGTGTTGTCAGATTAGAGCAAACAGTTGCTCTCCATACCCTGGAAAAGGGTCCACATGGATCCTTGATGGTGCAAGCATCCATTGTCACCCGGACATCGTCTATTTTTTGCGCTCGATCGGGATTGTGCCGATATTCCTCCCCGACTACTGCCCGTTTTCAATCCCATAGAGTACGTATTTGGTCTCGTCAAGAAATCGTTCAAGCGAGGCTACAAGGAGAGTACAACGAAGGACATGCAGGATTTTGTGCTCGGCGTGATGATGCCGTTCCAAAGTACGACATGTCCAGTTTTTTAAGACACTGCGGGTACACAACTGAAGGACGCATTGACCCTGCAAAGCAGTTTGACATGTCCACGCTATCAAACCTGAACGACAGTTTGCTTGGATTAATTGACTGTGATGACATCAGAAGTTCGGAAGAAATTTAGCTAAATAATGAATGATTTTAATTTCGTTTGGCACGAATGACCTTAACTTTTGCACAATAAATATTCAAATGACTTCATTGACATAAAATCTCGATCATGATCAACATCGTTTATGTTTGGGATCGTTTCAAGAAGCTCATGGAGGCCATCGCCAGGATTTTGATATTGAACATCTCGAGTAAAGCCATCAATCATCCGCTTCTTGGTATTGAGCATGTCGATACAGCTCTGAGCCCTCAAATAATCCGTTGTTGTATCATTCTTGACTACACAGAGATCTGCCAAACACGATTCCACAACGTCACGAGCAAGCAACCAGCTTTGTTGTAGGTTTTCTTGTCTTGCTTGTGCGGCGTTGGCAACCGACTGGAAGAGGTGAATCATTTGTACTGGCGGATGTCGCATAAAAAGCGACGCATGCTCGTGTGTTGGCCGCTTAAGCACGTGGGAGGCCCCAATGCGCCAAGTTGCTTCGTATGCACTGTAAATGCCGCTCCATTGAGCCTTCAGCGCCTCCACAGATTCTTGGTGGAGAGCCTCTGCACTGCACCTGCTCTGTCTTGGACTTGTGGCGCGATGCATTGTTGCTGCATTTCTGCCAAGTCCGCCGCTGAGTTGACCCGACTTCCATACTTGAATATGGCTATCATGAATGTGTTGTTGGCGTGGTCAGATAGGTACTGGTGCGCTTGGGTTGTGTTGCTGCGCTTGAATTGATTGTGCCCCAATTTGATGGTGATGAACATGTCAAACATGTCGTCGAGAGTTCGCTCCTCGGGGGACACAGACCGGACCTTAGGTCGGACTCATGATTCGCCAACGACACAACGTCCAGCCGCGCAAACAAGATGATCTGTTCCTTGATCGCCTCCCAAGACGCTCCCTCGAACACTTGCGGCTGGAGTCGCTTTCCATTATGATCTCGACCATAGACGATCTCCTACGATAACGTCGGGTCGCATTCGGTACAGATTCGAGGCAGGTTGCTCTGTCGAAGCTGGTGGTGACTGGAAAGACCGTGTGTTGTATCGGTGACTCGGTGGGGTGCATTGTGTGAGCCCCATCGCCGTAATAGACAGCGCAGCAGTTGAAGGAAAATTAAGTAATGCGTTTTAATTGGTTATTCTCAATTCGATTGCCAAGTCGATTCGATTGGACTGGGAACTCCAAATTTGAATCGATTTGACAATATGAAACACGTTCTAATTACAATACTTGAGACATAGTCGTGGATTTTCTAATCACTATTGAGTGCAAATCTCTTTCAAGGGACCTTGTCGAATTTTTTCTATACACAGTCAACGAGCCCAATTCATCGATACAGGTTGATTACAAACAATCTTTTGTAAGGGATCCATTTTGGCCGATAATGGAGTCGGGTGTCACCGCTGTGCCCCGGGTTCGATTCCCTAATCCCTAGTCTATGCCAGCTGGTAAGGCGACTTTTTCCGCGCTTGATTTCCTCAAAGAACGTATGCAATATATATTTAAATGTTTACTCTTTGGAATCACAAAATAATATCCCACATACAAAAATTGAATGAATCCACAGCACTGATTCATGATTGGCTCTTCAAATTTGCCGCTAGTGCTAACGTCTTCGTGCACTAGCGTGGGGCAGTACACGAGGTACTCAATCACGGACCATCGCAATACTTGGACATGTTCGAACCAAGCGTCGTCTCGTCTCAATTATACGCCAGGGCCTATGGAATTGATTGGAGCACATGGAGGGGATGGCTGAAGAACAGGGAGAAGGTCATGACCACTCGCCACAATGATAAGCTTGCATCGCTGGGTGGCCAAGGAAGACCAGAATGCATCCCATTTGCTTCGTCGATGCGTGACTTCATGAATGATGTTCGAGACAACGAGCACTACCTTTCCCATACTCATCTCATAACGTTCATGAAACTGCACCACATGAATTGGCTCGAGGAGTACATTGCTAACAAATAGAACTACGATACGGCGTACGGCAGTTTGCTTCGACTCTGCCAACGGTTTAACAAGCGCTATTGCTTCTCGCAACGAGTGCCATGTGCGACCAAGCTTCCACAAGCTGTGCTTGCTGAGACGAAAGCTATATGTGCAAAGGAGTATGGGGAAAAGTTCAAAGATACCACGACTTCAGACATCATCAACGTCGATGAAACATCTATCTACTATGAATTGCCACCTACGAAGACTTTGGCGAAGGTCGTCGGGTCATCCAAAGTGGTTACCGAGCAAAACCACTCCGACCGCGTAACGGCTGTGTTTTCAATACGAACCAATGAGAACAAGCTGCCAATAATGTTCGTCGTCAAGGGAGCTCCTGGTGGACCAATCGAGTGCGACGAGGTACCTACTTATCCAGCTGGTCATTTGTACGTTGTACAGGAGAAGACATGGGTGGACACCCGTGTGTAGGAGATGTACTTGACTGATCTGCTTAAGTAAAAGATCGAAGGCTCCTCTGTTACAGTCGACTTGATAAAAACTCGACAAAGTGGTACTCGAATAAAATTGAGCATCGATGAGCAATGCCGTTTCGGCGAAATATTGTCACAATTACATTTCACGCAGGGATTGGATAAAATCCCTTTGAATTTTAACGCAATGTGATTGGTCGATTCGAAAATCCCTCGCACTTTGAATTTTGATACCAACACCGGTCCTCCTGCAGCGCGTCCAGCGGCGATATAGCATCGACACTCACATAAAGCTGATAATTGCTTTGAGAACTCGACGCTTTCTGTGAGTTCTATTTGCGCTTTAGAAGGGATACCTCGTTCAACATGGCTGACGTGGCTCAGTAAAAAAGACCGCTACATGTAAACCCAGCGCAATAAGCAACGCCCCACGCTTGGAGGCCAAGGTAAACCCGTCGTAATGAAGTGTACGAGATGAGGACCACCGCCTCACCACGACCCACATGGTCAGGCGGATAAAGACCCACCAACCAACTTGGATCGACCACTATTTAGGCGAGAAGGCTTCAGCAGGCACTTGCTACGCTGGACTCCTCGGCTTGTGCCAAAGCTTTGCTTACCGTCATGGATTTGCTCAGCGACTTCCTTGCTTCTCCAAATTCAAGCTAGCCGAGCTGTCTGAGAAGAAGGAAACATTTCCCTGAACATTTTGGTCCAAGCACAGCCACGTCCCATTGCGCGACATCATTAATGTCGACGAGACGGTAGTGTATTATGACATGCCACCACGCCGTATTTGGTGTGAGATTGGCGCCGACGCTAAAAGTGACTCCTCGGTAAAGCATTCCGAACGTATGACGGCGGTGTTGGCCGTATTTGCTGATGGTGTGTGATCAATATTGTATAGTTGATATTATTAGTTATGTAGGAAAGAAACTGCCGATCCTCTTTATTGTACGGTAAGTGGGGTGGTCGGAGGCCAAATTGAAACCGACGAGTTGTCTACCTACCCAACGGGTCACGT